ACACCGCCTTTCTTAGGAGAGGCCTATGTCCAGCAGATGATGAAGTTGATTCTCTATGGTGTAAAAAAAAACGAAACAAATACTTCACACCGGTTTTATTCCTAGTGCCGATTTATTCTGTAGTCTTTTAACAAAAAAATAACATTACACAAAGCTTTTCAAATTATCTATTACAAGGACTTTGTATGCGTTAGCAAAAGCCGTACAACACAACAAAGAAGTGTACCTACCTATGTTTACATATGTCACTCACTCTGCTCCTAATATACCCGTTTGACACAATTATGTCAGGGTGGTTGTCAGACATTCTCTCTATTACTAGAGACTCTATTATTAGAGTACGTTAAAACAAGAAGAGTTAACTCAAGTGAAGCTGCATCGCAAACTTTTACCCACTCAAGTGCTATTAGCCATGGTTGTGTCCAGTTCTGGTCCAATGGGGCATTATTTTTCTATCAGTCATGGGGAGAATCATTTTGTTTTTGTTTTTGTTTTTGAAGCAAAGAATCAAAAACTTCACTTTCACTTAAACTTAATATGTACTCCATAAGGGTTCAGTTAAACTGACAAAAAATATATCGACTTTAACTTTAGTCAAAAACAAAACAGTAGTATTTGAATAAAATAAATGAAAATCATTACATTAAACAAAAGAAAACATCAAAGATCAACCAATCCGGAAATTATTTCAAGAGAATGGCGTGTAATCATAAAGCATAGTTGCCATTACAATAAATGGAGAAAAGAACATAAAAGGGATGGGCAATCACAAACGTATATCCTTCACATGAGGAAAACTAACAAACATGGCCATACGACCGGCCATCATTCCTCGCAATATCCTCGGTCGGGAAAAACAAACAAAAAAAGTCCTTGATATTTCCCATGACAACGAAAGTAAATGGCCGGTGAACCACGTAGTTTGGTTTAATTAAATTTAATTCGCTTTTCATACAACTTCAAAACATTATTGTTATAATAATGTTTTGAAGTAAATTACAGTACTGAGAGACTTGAAGAATTAGACCAGAATGTTTTAATTAAGAGTTTAATGTCTGTAAGTTCATGTAGCTAAAGCTTTCGCTTTCGTTTGGCGGAAATCGAGTGAACATTTTACATAATACAGACGTAACATAAATACAATGTCGTAACAAATTAATTGTAATAAAAAAATGTTAAATCGCACACATGTTAGTAATGGACGCACCTTGCGCTGTGCCGGCGTTTTCATACTTCGATTTGAGCTTAGCGGCCGTCGCCCGCGCATCCGACCTAACACTATCAGTTGCCGATGTTGTGGTAGTAGTGGTTCTGAACGACAGTGTCGTCGAGAACGTTGATGAGAATGAGGACCCAAGACCGAGGCCGAGGGTGGTACGGTAACGACGTCTATACATTGTGAGGTGTGTACGCAACGAGTGGCAGATCACGACTGAACAGCGCACGCGTTAACCCGGAAAAGCGGTCGCGATTTATTATGGTACGAGAAAGTCGCTCCCAGACGCGTGGACGCACGGGAGTTTATAGAATATCTATCACGTTGTCTCGCTTCAGGCATACGCAACCGGAGTATGTTAAGTCTATGTATAATCAACATCATAAAAAAGTCAATGTTTCTCTGGATCATTTCGATAGATTCATCATAATAAAAACCCTTTAAAGGGGCGCAATTGGTATCTACATAATATAATTTTAAAAATAGGTATAGGTAAAATATAATGATCATTCTTAAAATGCTTTAACATACTGCACCACACTACGTTAATAATTTGCGATAAAAATAAATGGTCCTCTCGGCAAGACGTCATCTTAACGCAGTGAAGACGGCAATTTTTCTTCCTCGTGACCTTGAAAAATCACAGTTCGTATCCGATGAAGGTTACAGCTTGGGCGGTAGATGTATGCCAGGCCGTTTCCCCTAATGCCATTGCCAACACATGAAATCTGAGACTACAAGTAAACTTAATATTTCTTTCTCATATTTTCTTTTTTGCACTATCCAATGCCAGTCTGATTTAGCGATTAGGAAGACCTTCATTCGCTACAAATTTTGTCGTCAAACATCGAATCCATCAACCTTGTTTTACGCAGAGAAGCAGAGATGCCTAAAATTACATTTCTCCTGCCTTAGCTCAATTAAAAAATAAAAATACAGTCTCATAAAAAGATTAAAAGCGAGACGTCCTCTATTGCCCTGGGTTTATAGATTAAGTTTTTCTAGGCCCATGGCCAGGTGGATAAACACAAATCACACTAATCATATTGCTTCACAATATTAATAAAAATTACTAACTACACATGTTGTTAAAGTGGTGTGCTAAAAATATACCTTGAAATAATATAATAATTTCAGTAATGCTGTATCAAACATAGATAATAAATACTTAATAGTGCTTTCTTGTCTGATAAAAAGTCTGATATGCATGTGTAAGAATACAATATTAATTCTTTACATATATTTTTTCCAACTAGGAATTAGGCATTAGGAATATATATATTGTGTCACGGGGCACTTTACAAACATACATGTGACTAAAAAAATAGAATAAAATATATACAGCTGTAGCTGACTGCAAAAGAACTCAAAACTTTGAGTAAGTCTTGAGTTCACTGTATAATGAAAAGTATCACAGTGGTGAAGTTTGATGGTTTGGTTGTAAGTTTTTTTTTTAACAAAGACAAATCGCATTAGGAATGTATCCTGTGCCGCAGAGGACTTTACAAACATACATGAAACGGACACAAAGAACATCCAGACTCCGAACAAGAATTTGTGGATCACTCAAAGTGTGGTCCCATGTGGGGATCGGACCCACAACACTCCTACGCTGAGTGGAAGCGAGCCTCCTAGAAAGCGGCGTGGCGCCCGCTTAAACCACTACACCATCTGTGCAGTCGAAGTTTATTACTATTTACTGATAATTAGTTACGGAATACCAAAGTATAAAAATAGTGTATTACATATACCCCATATATACCCATATATACACCCAGTATATCTATGTAGTATAACAACATGTAACTGACTACAATTTAAAATAATTTATCTCATTATACACCTGCCACACACACATCTCTGCACCACCCCAAGGTTGACTGGCAGAAAATGCCTATGACATTAAGTCCGCGTTATGCAATGTATTTGCAGGAAGTATAAATAAATATCCATAAAAAAAATTGTTTACCAATCAAACAATATCAAATAACTTTTTAAAGCGTTTAAATGATGCTTTTTACTGATATTAAAATAAAAATACTTAAAATAGTATATCTACCTATTCCATTGCAGTAAACTATGCTGTAACTTGTTATTGATGTTTAAACCACAAAGCTGTGTTAATGTGATAACTACAACTAGTACCTAATTACTACCATTATAGCAATTTTTCATAGTTGTTTAACCCAAAAGGGTAGAGTACAAAGTTATATTAAGACATCACAATAACATCAACATATCATTGAGTCAAATATTGCAGCATATATTTTTTATCACTGAACATTATTAAGTGTAGTTCCAAGCCATATCTGTCTGTCAGTCATTCATAAGGAAGGTTCAGTATATATTTTACTGAAATAAGATGATGATTGTTGAATATTTTAAAACAACCATTTCACTTGGAAGCTTTTGGAAGGGTTTGCAGCGTAAATTATTAGTTAAAAGACCAAAAAAAATGTCTTAACTATGACAGGAAGAACAATTGACTGCCTCGATGGTGCAGTGGTAGTATGCGGTTGAGGTCTCGGGTTCTATTCTCGGGCTGGACTAAATGTTTGTATGATCTGCAAATATTTGTTTTGGTGTTTGGAGTTTATTATGTACTACATGGGTGTAGTAAAAAAAAATGTAAGTATTCTATCAGTCAATCTAGCTTTCATAGTACAAGCTCTGCTTAGTTTTAAACTAGATGGTGTGTCAGTTGTCCGAAATATTTATTATTTAGTTAAAAAATGTGCTTTGCAAAAACCATCAGTTCAACATAAGCTTATGTTCAGAAATAACAGCCAGATTGGGAACAAGTTTAATAGCCTCATATTTGTGGCAGTTTATTTAAAACCCTGCAAGACTTCTAACATGCAAAATTATATTTAAAAAATACATAAATACTTTCACATGTCTCAAAAACAGCCGTCTGAACTCCAACTAGGAATAATATGGTATGTTTTTCTCACCAAAACCAAAATATATAAAAATGTAAATATGATCACGCTATAACATTTGAAAATTGCAGTAGTGGATTGATTTATTACATTTACCATCACATATATTTAATACTATCTGCTTAGAAAACTAAAAGTCATATTGTGCAATAACTAGAATGACTAGTATAATTTATATGATCAATAAGATAGGAATCTCAAAGCATTGTTATTGTCATACTTTAATGGGTGATGGCAAAATTGAAGTAAAGCAAATATGTAAGCAAATGATGGGATTCAAAGTACATTTAAATTTAGTTCAGTTGGAGGGTAGACAAAAATACTAGCAACATCGACTAAGTAACATGGCTGCACCTTTTGTGACCAACCAATATAAAATATAGGATTTTTCTGAGGAAGCATAGCCTAAGTTACCCCTTATATAGACAGCTACCTGGTATATCAAAATCAGTCAAGCCGTTTAGAAGATTACTCTCGGAACTAACAGACAGACAGACCGAAAAAAAAAAACTTGTTTTTAGGCATAGGTATTGTGCAAATAACAGTGTAAGCATGAAAAAAAACTATTATTTTAACATCACATTTATTTGTATGGATTTTAATAATAGTATTAAACTTCATCTAAACTGAAAAACAAAATTAGAAACCAACTCTTTTCTCAAAGATAAAGTTATGATTATTTGTTATAAGATGGGACTAAAGGAAATTGTGACTATAACATGAATTAAACTCCTATCACAGTTTGTCAACAAAAAGATACAAAGTGACATTCAATATACACTTACACACAAAATAAACAAATTATATAAGAACTGTAACTCACTATTATCAACTTATGTACATTACAGACAATATTTATTTGATGAGAAATTGAGAGGTGTGCTGTCTCTGTAACGTGTGTTACTTAGAGGGTACTTACCGTTTATGGACCAGATGTGTGAGGGCAGCGAATGTGCGGCGTACACTCGGCCGAGCGACAGTGATGTACCCGCCACCGGACCGACTTCTTCGTTCGAGCTTGAGTCGGTATCAGGGCTGGCAGCCGCTGAAGCTTCATAGCTCTGTGAGTTTGGAGGAATAGCAATCGCCTCATGTGAAGAATGAAGATCCGGCACCGAAGATAACGACCTAGCCCGCTGGCGATCGTTCGAGACCTGAATCCCCGGGATCGCTCTCAGTAGGCTGAACCCTGCGCCCCCTGACACTACATCAGAGCTGGAGCTCGTGGAGAATGTCCTGGCACGTGGACTCTGGCCACCGTTCGCAGTACTTGCTTTTGCACCCATAGCGACTCCGTTGCAGCAAAATTCACACCTGTCACGCACTAAACCGAGAATCACGACCACACACGGGACGCAACCACCATTCCGGTGGAAGACATCGTACAACACACAGAAAATATGCAACAATGCGCGAAAAAAATACACTAAAGCCAATCACAAGTATGAAGCAAAATTGTAAACAGCCTATGCATGTGCCGTGCTGCAAAATTTTGACAGTTCTAACTTTTTTATTCAAGTGAAGTTATAACAGTTCGGCCGTCTGCGATGCGCCATCTTCGTTCGAAAACAAACTAAAACCATTTGTTGGTTTGGTTTTCTTTTAAATGAGAATGTAACTCTGTCAGTTTTAGCACAACTGAATTAAAAAAGAAAAAGTGTTAATATCCATTGAAAGTATTTGCAGAATTAAGATAAGAATCCCATACTACAACCTCTTTTGGAAACCAGTTCACGTATGTCATCATGTGTGACTCGATTTTCAGTTTTTCAATTTATTAAGGGTATATGAATCTGTCTTTTGCATCTGCAGCACGGTAGTGACCCGCCAAGGAGAGCCAAGTGAAGTGCAAGAGCATTACCTACCTTTTTTTGAAGCACTTCCTCGTTTTTTTTTAACCCTTATAACTTGGGCTTGAATTATATCAGATAAAAGAAATTCTCGGGATATGATATCAATGGTGGACTTTAAAAACATATGACGTTTCAATGGCCTAACTTCTTTTACCTCAGAGAATTAGAATTGGCCTGTTGGTCAAGTGGTAAGTGACTCTGACTGCAAAGTTCGATTCCCACCCAGGACACATATTATGTGATGGGTACGTTCATTTGTTCTGTGTCTGGGTGTAATTTACCTATAATATGTATGTATTTAGAAATATATAAGTATGTTTATCAGCAGTCTCGTTACTAAAGTACTTGTTCTTCCTAGTTCGATCCGGCTGCCGTGTGTGAAATGTGTCAGATTATTATTATTTTTCTCTTTATTTTATTAAATGTATATATTTATTATTATTATTACCATTCAACGTGGCAATGCTGCCTGTCTTCTGTTAACGCTACCAGTAGGCGCTGATCCGGACGAATCGACGAAAAAAAAGGGGTGTGAGAGAATGAAGGAAGTCAAAATGGATGAGTATAAAGAGTGGAAGAAAAAGGCAAAAAAACGGTAGATAAAGGTGAAGAGGGGAGAGTGTTGATTAAAGATGAAGATTTAAAAAAGCGATGGAAAACTTACTTTGAAAAACTTATTAATGAAGGGAATGAATGGAGCGGAGTGCTAAAAGATGTGGATGTGAATGTCGGACTGGTGAACGAGATTAGTATAGATGAAGTTAGATTGGCAGTACGAAGTATGAAAAATGGAAAAGCAGTTGGCCCCGACGGTATACCAGTGGAAGTTTGGAAGTTACTGAAAGAAGGCTGGCTGACTCTATTCTTCAATATGTTGTTGCTTGAATAGGTAATCCCAAAGGAATGGTGTCAAACCCATCTCGTACATTTTCAAAAATAAAGGGGATGTTCAGAAATGCAACAACTATCGAGGAATAAAGCTCATGTCACATACTATGATAGTCTGGGAGAAAGTGATTGAGAGAAGAATAAGAGCTGAGAGTGTTATAACCCAAAGTCTATTCGGGTTTATGCCAGGATGCGGGACAACATATGCCATATTTGCAATCCGCCAATCATGTGAGAAATACGGGAGTGCGCACAAAAACTTGCATATGGTCTTTGTAGACCTCGAAAAGGCATATGATAGGATACCCCGAGAGGTTTTGTGGTGGGCTTTGAAAGAGGTAAGAGTGCCTGTTAAGTGTGTAAAATTGATTCGTGCTATGTATAGAGAGTTTAGCACTCATATAAGGTCGATCACGGGAAACACTAATCAGTTCAGTGTCTCTGTAGGCTTGCACCAGGGATCGGCTCTGAGCTCATTCCTCTTCTTGTTGATAATGGATGCCATGACATTGGACATACAGGAAGAGACACCTTGGTACATACTATTTGCAAATGACATGCTGCTGGATAGGATAGCAATAACAGTCTGCTCCGTTTTTAAGAACCCCGGCTCAATCTTACTATGAGATGGTGAGATTGATCGAATTGTACAGCATGGAATCAATACGGGATGGATGAAGTGACGGCAAGTAATGGAGGCAATGTGTAACCCCAGTTTCCCCTAAAGACTAAAGGGACAAATGTATGAAACTATCATCAGACATGCCGTCCTTTATGGTTCTGAAAGTTGGCCCATTAAGAGAACGGATGAGAGACGCCTGAACGTAGCTGCAATGCGAATGCTGCGATAGATGTATGGTGTGACTCGGATGGACAAGGTTAGGAATGAGTATATACGAGGGAGTGAGTTTGAGAGTATAGCGCCACTGGATGAAAAGTTAAGAAGTAATAGGTTATTTTTGTATGGACATGTCATGCGGAGGGATGAGGTAAATGTGGCGAAGAAAGTGTTAGGTTTAGGACTTGAGGAGTACAAGAGAAGAGGCAGACCAAAGAAAAGGTGGATGGACAGTGTGAGTGATGAAATGGCTAGAAAGGGAGTAAACAGTGAGATGACGAATGATAGAGTGGAATGGAAGAATCATACTTACTGCGCTAACCCCAAATAAAATTAGGATAAGGGTAGACAGATGATATTGAGGTGATTTGCACAAATTAAATTAAATTTTGTATACTCTGTATGTCATTAATTCTCTGTCATTTTTATTTAATCATCAAAATTTGACAATATAGCATGATAGTCTTACTCTATCTCTCTTGCTCTATTGTAAAATGTATATCCCTTTTTCTTTTGTCAAACAAAACAATATAAAACTGTTTTATGTCAACTGTGTTATGTCAACACAATATAGATATGTCAGTGTCAAATGGCGTGTAATCGATGACGAATTAGTTGTACTGAAAAATAAACTTTAACTATTTGTAACATATTTTTAAGACATATTAACAATGAATAATCCAGGAATGACGTCTGCTACTGTAAGTACACACAATTTAGATGCTTGAAATGTCATCCTAACTGTATGTCTATAACAGCAGCCACTAATTCTCAATAATAAAACATTTCGCTCAGTAAATACTGAATTCCCGTTCATTTTAATATTAATAGTAATGAAGTTATAGCCCATTAGTCATATATGTATCCCAGCTGTTTTATTTTGCAAGTTAGTTATGTTATTTTAAAACTAGCATTACAGTTATGTGTAGTTAAGTTGGCTTTGCACGGCTTGAGCTGATGTAGTGTCATTACCACGCTACTTACAGCCAGGTGTGCCGCAGGTGCCGCTGCTCGATGACGACACCATCGCCTTCGGTGAAGAAGACAATGCTAACAAACATTTTGTGTAAGTTTTCCTTACTAAAGTTTTGTTACAATAAAATTGCTTTTACTTAGAAAATACCTTCAACACCTGTATCTTAGTCAAATATTACACACTTCATAGGATAGTGATATGAAACCTCCTTTTAATGGATTTTCTTGATAAAAAAGTAAGATTAAAAAAGAAGTATAGTATACTTTCAAACTTGACATAAAGTCAATAACAAGATTAAAATATAATACATGATTACTTAATTACCTTTAACAAAATTGCTTTAAACTATAAATTTTAAATTTTCTTAATGATATAACAAGATTAAACTGCAACTAAAAAACAATCTTTATCGATTTACTTTTTAAAACAATTTTTTTAATTAATTAGTTTTAATTACATTTTTGTAGGTATATCCATTATAATTAAAAGAGATTTGTAGAGTGACTACCTACCCGTCTTAGTTATACTCTTGCCTTTGAAACGATGACAACAAAAATGAGGTTCTAACAACATTGTGGTCAGTAAGCGTTAAAAGGAAAGTGCACAAATATAAAGTAAATTTAATATAAAGTTTAGACATATACTTAATAATACATTTATGTATTGTTAAGTGAATTATTTCACCTAATATCTATAAATTAGTTATAACTAATTAATATATATGTATTAGTTATAACTAATTTATAAAAATTGAAATAACTTTTTTGTAAAACATTTTACTGACACTACTCTTTAGACAACACCTCAATCAGTTTGTGTTTGCATTAAAAGAAAAAAATAATATTAATATTTTTGGACATCTGACACAACGCCATATAGTTTCAAACTATGCAAAGCTTGTACTATGAAAGCTAGATTGACTGATAGAATACTTATATACCTTTTTTTTGTAAATATATACATAGAAAACACCCAAACGCCGAAACATATTTGTAGCTCATACAAACATTTGGTCCGACCCGAGAATCAAACCTGAGACCTTAGCACAGTAGTTGCATACCCTATCACTGCACCACCGAGGCAGTGATGATATGTGTGTATGATATGTAAAACCGAGGTGTTGACCCTACATGGGTAAGACAAGTTGTTCAATTTCTTGCACAGTTGTGAACTGCAAAGTAATCCATAGGATTTGTTATCGCTTTCAACTGAAACAAAACAGATAACTACAGCATTCTGTTTAAAACAGTTGTATCTTCATATGAAGAACTCCCACTGCAACTGAACAATTTTTGTCAAGGACAATAGGGTTTATTATGTTCATCATCATCATTAACAATGGTCCACTGTTAGACATAGGCCTCTCCTTAGAAAGGCAGTTTTGGCCTACTATACCACGCTGGCCAGATAGCAATCCAGCTACAAGGTTTCTTTCAAGTTTTCTTCTCTTTGCAGTGCGATTGTCCTTCTTAGTTTGCATTTTTGCATTTTGCAAATTAGTATTACATCAATTTGTCCATAAACCAATAATAAACATAGATAAAAATAAATTAATGTATGCATATGTGAATAATGTTGTATGGTAATATTTCCAGGCATCCCTACATAGTGTTCTTCCACCTAGTGTTCCGGTGCTCAGCAATTGTAGTGTACATGCTGTGTGGTTGGTTCTCAGACTCCTTCATAGCTAGCTTTGTGCTTGTCACATTGCTACTATCTGCTGACTTTTGGACTGTCAAAAACATCAGTGGTAAGTTTGCCTTAGTATACAAAGAGTTTTAAATCATTACACGCTTTATATTAGCTTCACTTGTATGTTTGTTTGTATGTTTGTAACCGACTCCTTTGGGCGTGATTTTGACTGACTTTAAACGGTCAGAATTCGTTCAAACTTTGTAGATATATCGAGGACCGATGACAATACACTAATTAAAAAAAAAATAGTTTTAAAAAACACGTTTTGTATAGAAAACCAAACTAAATAATAGAAAATAAATTTGATAAAAAGCGTGGGGTGCTTTTTACTATTGACAACAGGCACCGAACGCTTTTTTTCAAATTTATTTTCTAAAAGAAAGATATAAGATACATATCATCTCCAAAAAAGTAAGGTCCTTGAGGGTTGTAAAAATTACTTTAACTAGTGAAAAGGCAAAACCTAGTATTTGTTGATATTGAATACCATTTAGGAATTTTATCATTCTAAAAGATGTAGATACATATTGTAACTTAAATTTAAGGAATTCATATAGTATCAATAGGGCATGGAATATGAAAGTAACGGCTGGACATTTAATATATCTAATATGGTCAAATTGCAGGTCGGCTGTTAGTTGGTCTGCGATGGTGGAATTATGTAGATGATGATGGCAAGTCACACTGGGTGTTCGAGGCGAAACAGGTAAATGTACGTAGAGACAAATGTAAATATTACAATGATGCGTGGAGGCTCATGTAGGTTAGATTTTTTTTTTAAACAGGCCCGTATGCTTTTACAAGTCCTTCAACCTCAAACCATTCGATAGTAAGGATTGGAGAATGGTTGGAGATGCGACATGGTGCCATCTCAGTACACAGTTGATTTGGGCAATGTCCATATTGTGTTTGATCTGCGATACTGCGAGTGCGATGTATCCAGTCGCTGAAGCCCTTGGTTTTTTCTACAGTCCAGATCCAGAATGCGTAGGAGTCCGCCTCAGGAAGTGATGTACAGTAAAGAGATGCCGGATATTTAGTACTCTTCTATACCGCAGAAGACACACTAGGAACTGGAGACTGCAAATGATCCAAGATCCAGTCTCCAGTAACGTTTACAGGATGTAGAGACTACTGCGAGACGTGTTACATACGCTTTCACTGAATTAGAAGAGGCCAGTTTTCTCATATTATACCGTAAAGTGGGGCGACTCCAAGTCGTTTAACAGACAACCAAGATCACCGGGGTCAGCAAGGATTTCCTTCCGCGGTTATCTAAGATCCCAATACAATAAAACACCGTGTGTGACGAAATACCGCGCATTTTAATCGATTTGATCCCGATGTACCCATCGCCGTGTATACAATATGGTGGCGACACGACAATTTTATTTAAAAAAAAATGCCTTTAATATTTTCAGAATCGTGTAAACCAGAACGAAAGTCGTCTATTCTGGATGGGACTAGTGATGTGTCCGCTTGTCTGGTCCACTTTCTTCATATTCTGTCTCTTCGGTCTCAAATTCAAATGGATGGTATGTATTATTTAGTTTAATAAAATAAATACTGACAACCCATGGGTTGCGATGGTATTTTACCAAGTAAACCACGTAAATATAAATTTTTACAGTGCCAGAAAAGTGTCAAAAATAATATGACAAATAATACGAATGTTGACTCTCATGCAGGCGCCCTACACAAAGTTATAAATATAAATCCCCTATTACTCATTACAACCTAAATTTACTTACTGAGTGTAATTTCCTTATTAACAAACGTTTCCTTGACAGCTGCTGGTTCTGATCGCGTTGACATTGAACGGAGCGAACCTGTACGGCTACATCAAGTGCAAGTTCGGCGCCAAGGAGAACCTCAAGTCGGCCACCACGGAGTTCGTGAAGCGCCAGCTGTTCCAGAACGCCTCCACCTTCATGTTCACGCAGCCCGCGCCCCCCACCACGGCCAACACGGGCGTCGTCTAACCGACAGCTTGCAGTCACTTGAGTCTTCACTTTAAATTATCTTTATAATTCATTAAAAAAATATAAGACAAAAATGTGCTGATTTGTGTGGAGATTTAAACTGATGAATATCTGTGATGTTCTAGAGTTAGAGCAAATTGTTGAGTACCCTATATATATGTAAACCTGGATTTAATTGTCATAATAATAAATAATTATCACCAACTTCAATGTACTTACATCATGATAAATATGAATAAACTGTAGTTTTTTTCTTCACATTTTTAAGGTACTGAACGCGATTTAAAATAAAAAATAGTTTTTAAAATCCTAAAAAAATCAACTGAATTCCTTTTTTTAAGTCGGTTAGAAATACCTTGTTTTTGTTACCCGATGCAATTCCTGAGTCAATATCTCCTTGAAAAAGAATGTTGGAATTTGACTGAAACATTGGGCAATTAAATGTTTATTATCGCTATTAACTCCCGGTTTACACCACACAATATCTAATAATATGTAATCTGTGTGAACTTTTCGCAAGTTTAGGTAAACACAAATGTTTGATTGTACCAAAAGAGGTAATGAAAAATATAAATAAGATGTGAATTCTATAATAAAGAATTCAAGTTATTATTGTTTTTTAAGCATTAAAACAAATAGGTTGATACATAGTTCCTTTTTTTTAGAACTTAGTATGTTTTATGTGAAAGTGCAAGGTAAATAAGTCAGGACTGTGTTCGAGCTATTTTAGTAACTTTAATACATATGTATAGATATGCACGTGTTATATAATACCTATACTATTATGCTTTGAATGTTTAGTCAAATTGGTATGTTATGTAGCTGTTTTAATATCATACAGTTGAAATAGTCATATCATTGATGAATTTATTAATCACTACTATAAATAATGATAACTAAAAAAAATAGAAAATGAAACACTATCACTAAACTCTGATGAATTCTTTATTATATCGAAAACAATTTTAAAAATTATGACTCGAAAATTTCTTCATCTGATAGTTTGGGACTCTCAGTTCACACGGTAGTCACCATCAAAATGTAAAAAATAAAAATAACTCGGTTTGTTCATGAGCTATGACGCGACAGACAGACACTGATATACGCGCTAAAGTTAAAATAACCTCTTTTTTGAGTCGGCGGTTAAGAACTACCATATTCTTGTCAAGTACGATATTTTTATCCATAACTCAAGCTAGTTGTATATCCAGGGTATAGTATTTTTTAAATTTGATTTAATCTAGCATTTATTTATCAACTAATGATGATAAACATACTATAATACAACAGGGAATCCAATAAATCTTTTAACCTCCTTTATAAACCAAGTCAACTTTTAAAGGCAAATGGTGAAGCACGTGACATTCACTCCTTGGGCCGCTATCGAAACCGATGCTTCGTTCGAGGAAAAATTATCTTTGTGCGAAATCAGTTTCGAACCAGTATCTTTTTTTCTTTTTACGAAACCTACAGTGAAATTAGTCTCGAGAAATTTTTGCATATGTAGTGGTGTGTATATTACTCAGATCTTAGAGCGCGTTTCCACTATATCGTTCTGGCCTATACAAAAATGTTTCGATATCCTAACATTACTATTTAATTTTATACTTATCCCTAGCAACACTCTGATTTTTGTTTTCAATAAAAACAAGTTTTTATTTAAAGAAAAAGGTTTTGACTTTATAAAAAAGGTGTGTGTGCGATTCACACACGATAGAAGTGAAACTTCAAAGAGGAGAGACTGATATTTAAAATTTTTTTTTTCCTTTCATCTCGGTTTTTAAAACTCCGGGGGGTCTACGGGGGGGTCAAAATTTTTGTTATTTTTGGCCTAGGACGCACCGTTTCCGAGATATTTCAATCTAAAGCAAAAAATCGTCACTTGATAGTGGAAAGTGGAAACACGCACAAAACCAGAATAAACCAGTTTACGCTGTCCGCAGGTGCCTACTACTACAAACGCAAAAAATTCTCCAAGCTAATTTACCTGTACTAGTTACGAAGACGTATACATGCAAGGGAGGAATGTTGCTCCTTATTACTGGAACGTATAGAAACTTACGATTCATGAAATACTGACCAGTTATAATTATTTATTTGTGTCAAATGTCTAATGATATCTGTCTTCAGGAAACTATTAAAAGTAATTTCTTTATACGTAACCGTGGTTTCGTAAAACGAAAAAGAGATCCTGGTTCAAAACTGCTTTCTTACGTAGACATTTTTTCCTCTTCCTCAACTGGTTACGAACCATCGGTTTCGATGACATTCACCATTTGAAGTCCGGCACAGTTATGCTGTGTCCGGTTTTGAGTAGAAAATAAACATATCTTTCTTTTCTCTTCCCTTCTGTTATCGTATTCTTATCAAATTCGATAAAGGATAAACAGTGGTGTAAAAATTGTATTTAATTTCTTAAAATATTTGCCAATTTATTTATACGTCCAACTAAGGAATTTCTTTTTATCACATTATGTATTGTATATAATTATTGTAAGATTATAAATTAATTTAATTATACTAGCTTTCTTATTTTTTTTAGATAGCCTTTCATCCCAACTATTTCTCTTTAAATTTTTAAAGATATTAAAAAGACACTAAAAACTATATTTGACTGTTAAATACTTTTGATATTGTGTAACATCTTTTGTCTCACTTTCTCTTCACGACGGAAGTTTGAAACATGACGACGGAAGTTTGAAGCTGGGTAAGCGCGTGCTGGCTAATAGGTATGATTGTACATTGAAACTTAACTACCATGTTTGTGAGCAGAGGAGTCAGCATGGGCTACAAAAACGTCGTTAGTGTTAAATTTATGTCAGACCGGATCGGTCCGTCCGTGTGGTGACGGATTAAGAATACGGAGTGTCATTACCCCTACTCATCCCCTTGATGACGTTGCTACGCAGACCAACAGTACTGCAAAGAGAAGGAAAACATGAAACAAACCCTATACAAACCCGTCTGGCCAGCGTGGCAGGGCCGCCGCCAGCTGTTTGAGCGCCCGCGTGCAATGCCGATGAAGCCGCACTTTTTCCCGTGCGGATATCGCCCTTCGGATACCCCCTACCAGATAAACGGTTTGGCGGTGATGGATTTTATTTCTGATCTTGATCAGATTTCAGATTATTTTTATCCCAATTTCAATGAGTTTAGAAATCATATTACTTTATTCCGATACAGTTATATTCAGCAGCATGTCGTGTCATGCGGTTTCAATCCGGGGATTATCATGCCACTGTGTGCTTCGAGCCACATAGGTCACAGGATTATGACCCCTGCCTCGGAATCACTCATTTGATCAAAAGCAACAAAATAATTGCTTAAAACCGGTTTTAAAACGGATACCACAGCCTCATAGGGCTGTGGTATCACTCCTGTAGAGTATTAATCGGTCCGGTCTCATCAAAAACAGGAGACCTTGGCTTACTGTAGCACGTTGCAGGGTCGGACCCAAAGGGCGGCAACGCACTTGTGATTCAAAAGTTGCCAGGTGTCCCTGAGCGGCGGTAGTCACTTACCATACCGGTGTATTCTAATATCAAAGTTATCAAACATTGTCGTAATACACCGTTTTTGAGCATTGAATGCCAAAGGCCAGTAAGTGAAGTTACCTCAGAATATGATACCAAACGGGACGACCAGACGCAATCATCTGCAAAACTTGTAGACAAATACTAAAAAGGTAGGATAGGTAAATAAGATGGCTTAATAGACTATTGTTTGATTCGTTCGTTTTATTTACCTCCTCGCTCGAATGCTCGCAGTAAAAGATGCATTTGTCCGTATCGGATCAATGAATATATTTACTTGACGCTCCTAAGACACTGCATGTGAAATTCGTCGAGTGTCTATAAGTATATTTTTGCGTTGTTTGAGTCATAAAGCAAACTGGGCAGGACTATTGCCATATAAACTGAAACCCTTTGGTATTGGTTGTAGGCTTCGGTTTCCGCATTTAGACTCAAGAGTGATCCAACTGAAACCCTTGTCGCGACCTTAAGTTCGTGTAATCTCAGTCTACAGGACCCTTTTTGTCTAGACTGCCGCACTGAGAATATATCCTGTGTCGCGATTGACTTTACAAACTTTCATGAAATGGACACAAGGAACGTTCAGACCTAAAATAACAATTTGTGGATCACACAAAGTGTTATCTATAAATTGTTCAATGTAGGATCGAACTCATAAAATTCCTAAACCGCCGTCTGTGTTGTCAAAGTGCTGAAGTTTTATCTATACTTACTGCCATTCATTTCAACATCTTGGCACTTTAATTTATTGCCAATTATTTGGCCTGGACATTTAATTTATAGTAACAAAATGAACAACTAATAAATATAAATTATTAGTGAGTACTTACTAAATTGCGAGGTGCTTGATTGGATTATATCACTATCTATCTCAACTTCAATTGTTGGCATTACAGTTGGTAATATAGAAAGGACCTGGGTCTCTTCGGATCCTATAGCCGGAGGTGCAGGTCCACCACCAGTCCATTTTTTTTGGGCTTCTAAAGTTTTAGCATCTCTGGCCTTCGTTTTTAGATTTTGCCACATTTTTTTAAGTTGAGCAGCATTCGCCTAAAAATAAAACAGATAATGTAAAGAGAGAATGAGGTTATTAAAATCCCAAGTAGGTGGATATGTTATTTACTACTTTATTCTCTAGAATTTTAACTTACTCGCTGGGATACGTTAGGCGAGTTATTGTAGTGGCATGCAATATCCTCCTAGGCTTCTGTCTTCTTTTTTTGGGATGTACCATCGGTCTTGCGATTCTCCACTATGTCCATTTTCGTCGTCACCAACTGCATAAGCAGTTGTTTTTCAAATTCACTGTAGGGCTTCTGTTTTTTTTTCTTATCGTCGGTGTTCATGACAATAGTAATCGGTGTCCGTAGATGAGCAAAAAAGGGTCGTCGTGAAAGCAGGTACTAGTCCGAGGGAATACAAGGGTCGTCGTGAGAGCAGGTACAAAATCCGAGTTAATGCAAAAGGTCCAAAAGTATAAAAGAGTTCAAGCGCAGAAAACACCACGAAGCGAAAACAAAGATTCAACAGACAATGAGAGTTTATGAGACCACATACAATGACAAAACAAAAAATCCATAGATTACCATTGATAGATTGTTGTTTACAATAGAATTCCATTGTCTTTCGTGCTAATATTAAAATAATTTAATTTTAAGGCTTTTCAGAGCATCTCCAACTACTAATGAGCACGTAAGTAATCGCTAAGTCATGGATTTTGGTGACTTAGACTATGCTAAGCATTTGCTCAGCTTGAGCTAAGCATTATGACTATAAATTTCAACGCACACTTAACTCGTGAGGTAAGTCTGAGCAAAGTCTAAGTACGCTTTATAAATTTCAGCCTTAGATGTAACTATTAGGCTTCCTAAGTAGATACTTGAACTTCTCCACTGATATCAAGACCTTCTGACTAACCCGAACTTGGGATGACTCGTTTTGGGTACCAACACTTACAGTGATTTTAAGACCGAAATTATTAGATGCCACACGAGCAGTCAGCAAAAGTTGTAGAGTAGCTGCTCCAGCATTTTTTTTATGGTAAACAAAGTTCCAGTTGATGTAGCTCGAAAAATATGTTTCTTTTTCGGCAATTGCTTTTTCTAAGATTGATGCAGATTTATTAAAATTTATTATTATTAATTTTCATGGAAATGTTTATGTATCCTTAAGTAAGAAATACTCATATTTCATGTCCACCCTCTCTCATAGATTGTTATGCCTTTGTCAATCCATTTTCAAGTTCAATTATCCGATTCAATAGAAGATTTCTGTGTTTTAAATTAGGCGTATTTTCTTAAAATAGTTAGCTTTATACGTATATGGCCATATCTTCTTTTAACACCTTTACCTATTCACAATAATTAGCGTGAGGACTTAAGTTGTGCAATACAGGATCGGTGGTACACGCAACTTACTAGGGCTACTAGATGGCGCTGATTGTTGCTATCAGACAGTATATTCTATAGTATCTATTTAACTATTTATTACACTATAAAACTTAATAAAAACAATTTGTAATAAGAAATACATTTTTTTTAAATTAATGTAAATGTTTTTAATGTATGCATTTAAGTAAACATAACTTATAAAAATATTAGTAATTTAATGCCAATCATTTTTGATATTGAACATCACCTAAACATTCTTTATCAAAAAAAATCTCAAAATGCGAAGTTGGAAAACAAAAAGAATGCTCCAGGTGAGGCTCGAACTCACAACCCCGGCATGTCTCATCACACGAACACTGTCTTATAAGTACCGTGCGCTAACCAATTGCGCCACTGGAGCTGTGGTATTTGTGACAAAATAGAGTGTCACTATATACGTTACTAATAAAGTCAAATGACACTCTTTTTTCTGATAATCAAACGTCAAATCAGTCGTTCATTTACTTTTCGTGGCATGTACACGACTTGAAAATTATTGTGAAATTAATTCCTCATTGTAATATTGCGTGTATTTTGCTATAAAGTTTATAATTTTAAAGCATAATAACGTTTGACGTTTGCGAAATTTCATCGAAAATACATAAACAAAATGGAAACGTCATCTCTCATCTGGTTTGTTGTGATTAGTTGAAGTGTATTTCCATGTAACTTCTCATAACAATCGCGTTATACAATTTACAATTCTAATTTATAATAACTGAGTGTTTCAATTGAGGTGTGATACTTGTGATATTGTGTCTAATGCACCGACAAAATGAATTGGTTCGACACGACAGGGCTCACGAGCCTTGCTAAGACAGCGCTCAAAGAAGCACAGAAAACTATCGATAAAGCGCTCGATATTCAGGACGAGAGTGGCGAAGAGGCCGACGAACAGTCCCAACCTCAGACTACAACAAAGTCCTCTCCAGGGCACACTAACACTCCACAAAAAGACAATGTAGATTTCTTTGCATCTTGGGGCCTTACAATGAGTGCCGAGAGTACGCAAGAAGCTCCAATTAAAGAACAGCCAGTCGTCACCGAAAGCCCGTCTAAATCCACATCACAGAGCTTGTGGGGGTCATTCGCGGGTTCCTTCTTCGAACAGCCTAAACAAGACGATGGAACTATTGTGCGACCGCCCAAAGCTAAATCTATGAATGTCATTTCTGATACGAAATATGATAGTCAAGATGATCTGTTCTCTAAAAGTCAGCTTATCATGTCAGACACTGAGGCTGTAGATCACAGAATCACAAAATCTTTAAAAGATGACATTTCTTTAGCAAATGAGAGGCGTGATTCGTCTAAATCAAACATATTATCACTGGTGTCCAGTAGAAACAGTTCCGATTCAGTGGAAGTATTGTCACAAAGTCTGAAAACAACACCTGATTCTGAGGCATCCGTTCATTCCATATCACATAGCAGTAGTACTGGCCTTAAACACAATTCAGAATCAGTTGAGATATTGCCGGACAGCCTAGTGAGCCCTAGTTCTATTGAGTGTCTCGGATTTGACAGTTATTATAGTGGTAAAAATAGTAGTTCATCCTCTATGTGTGTATCTCCAGAAGATATAAGTGACAAAAAGTTAATACCCCTTGGTGACCAGGCGGAGAGAGCTGAGACAGCTGATAGTGTAAGTTTGGTAGCTGATGATGATGAAGATACTATGTCATATAATTCTATATCGGAATGTACAGCCCCCACGGTTTTAGACACAGATGACAAGCCTGCTAGCCCCTATCCGAAGCTGCTCAAAGTAGATATTAGTAGAAAAGCTATAGAAAAAGAATTTATACATTTGGAACAGGCTATAGTGCCACAAAGGATGCAGATTAGTGAGAATTCTTCTAACGATGGCTCCTGGTCAGACAGGACATTAAATGCAGACAGTGATAGTATTACTTTAGAGAGCAACATGGAGGAGCAGAAGAGAGAACAAGAAGACATTTTCATAGACAAGCTGAGTGATTCATCATCCTTTTATAATGTGAATGTTGGGAATGAAATGTTAAGATCGGAAAGCTCATCATTTATCAATGTGGAAAAGCAACAGTGCAATGATTCAAGCAGTGGATCCTCACACAAGGAGGGCAGTGTCAAAGAAAGAACATCACCAATAAGTTCAGATAGCAAAAGTGATTTAGTGAAAATAGGTTCAGATCGAACCTCAGGGCACACCTCTGGGGACGAACTGGAGACAGCTACATCGTCAGATATAGAAATCATTCCAAGTCCTAATGGGGACGGGCATGGATTTAGAAACAGTCCTGCTAAGTATACATTTAAACAGTCCAAGTTTGATGGTTCTACTTCTCCTAATTTGGTAGATTTGGTGTTGGGAAAATCTTTGGCAACTAAAATTCGTGGACACAACAGGGAACTGTCAGAAGCTTCAATACAGAGTAACACAAGTGATGAGAGTCAGGGTTCGGAAAATGAGAGGTTAATGCGAAGGCTGTGTGAGATGACAGAAATCTTGGAGGCAAGAGAGAACAGACTGATGGAGGTTAGTAGAAGTAATGCAGAGTTAGCTGAGAGTAACTCGGAACTTAAAAGCCAGGTGGAATCACTGATGGCAAAGCATGAAAGTAGTGATATTAGCACAATAACAGAAGATTACACCCAAAGGATGTCGGCACTTGAAAAAAAATTTCAGCAGGCTATAAGAGAAAAGGTTAGTAGTGTTTTATTATAAAACTATTTGTACAAACTTTATTATTAACTTTTATCTGTGTATGTTGGTTATCATTGTCAAAAGTAGCCTATGTTACTCTCTGATAATGTTGTAGCCGTTAAGGTGTGAAGGTGTTGACAAACACGTTGTCCGTGTAGTGACGGATTAAGAATACGGAATGTCACTACCCCAATTCATCCCGAGGGTGTCGTAAGAGCCGACTAAGGGCGCAAAACAACGCAGGACACCAGCACTGCAAAAAGAAGGAAAACTTTACACAAACCCTATACCAACCCGTCTGGCCAGCGTGGTATAGTAGGCCAAAACCTCCTTTCTAAGGAGAGGCCTATGTCCAGCAGTGGACTATTCAAGGCTGTTGATGTGATGTGATGTGATGTGTTGACAAACAAACCTATTTTGATATTTGTAATATAAGTATGAATTTACTCTATAATTAACTTTAAAAAAAGTATCACTACATAAGTTGTATTCTACATCCCTTAAGTTTTACAACCTTATAGGTAAAACATTTTCTACAAACTTAAATTGGACCAAACTTGAGCACATCTCATTCATTAAAAAAGAACTGTTAAAATTGGTTTACTAATAGAGAAGGTATCACATCATAAAAACATGAAAAGAGATAAAAATATTTGGTTAAGAACCTTAAATATTTTAAAGTTGAAGAAATTGTGCAGAACTAAGATATATAGAACAAAGATAGAACATTTTGTGTTCTTTACACTCTTTAATTTAAAAACATAAATCACAACATGTTGTTAATGTGTTGTTAATGTTAAACTCAATTACATGCAAATACAGTAAGTCATTGTAACTTTTATAGGCATAAAGATTGGGGGCTACTAGGTGTCATATAATTAAGAGATAAACGGACACATTTACTTATTGAATTATGACTGATAACATAGCATTGGGATGCAATTAGAGTGATAGGATTGCAGCTTTAATGATTCTTTTTCCGTCTTTCCTTTTTTTAAAATTTGGTGTAGATATTTTAAAATATTTGGAGGATACTGAACAGTATAGTTGCCAAGGAAAAGCTTTTTTTTAATCAGGGATACATATAGGTTGCTAATTTAACACACCTCTTTATAGTAAGACAAATAGATGATGTGTTTCTCACAGCTTTTTTTTTCATTTTTGACATGATATATTTAACTTTTATTAATATGACCAAGAAATCAAACAAGCATGCAGTTTGCTTTATAATAAATACCAGATAATTTATAATCTTATAAATTTGTAACATAGTGGTGCTTATTACGAATATCCCCCAATCTTGTAACTCTTGAGTTCGGTACGGGTGCGCCCGCGCAGAACTGTATTCCGGTCGGATAAACGATACGGCAACGCAATAAAATGCGTACAAACCAACATTGATTTTAACTTACAAGATTAAAATCGGTTTTAATCTGCCTTAGACTCGAAAAAACATTACTTGCGCAAAGACATAACAGCGCGTGAAGGTTAAATCCGCTCATTGTTCTTTATTATTACTTAAAAAACACTTAAGTTAATTTTTTTTTACATAACCGCAATGGTTATGTAACTTTGTAAATATGTCAGAATGTCAATATGCAAGTCTAAAACTAATCCGTCCTACAAAGTCTGCTGCTGACACACCGTAGAAATAGTCTCTGTCAACTCTTACCCGTTTTTGTTTTGTACCTAATACCACTAATGCCACTCACCACCTCTCGGACTCGAACCGACCAAAACCGCACGCCTTCTCCAGGTACCAGTAGCCGGGGAAAAAGGTACCATAGAAAGGAAAGCCCTGGTACCCCGACGTACCTTGGGCCATCTACGGCCGTTCCGTATGGTCCCTTCCTGCCCCCGAAAGGCGTGCGCGCTCCGTTGCGAGTCGCGTCACCATCCACCTGCTTCTGCAAGAGACAGACAGTGTCACACAGATGTGATGACAGATGGTGTCAACTCTTACCTTAATAATCTGCCTCCTGATCAGAGCTCCACAACTCAAGTACCTATTAGGTGATATCGCAGTTCTGTAAAAAAGACTGTTGTCAGACCATTTAGGAATATAACTATTAGAGCGACACCAGAAACAGGTGCTTCGATATTTCGAAGTGAAAACAAACCGATAATTTCTAAATTCCTTATGGTATGGATAGCAATCTGTTATTCGTCTTTTATTTTATTTATTTATTTTATTTTAATACTTTATGCACAAGTGTGGGTTGTACAATGGCGGACTGTATGCCACAGGCATTTTCTCCCAGTCTACGTTAGGTTGGTGCTGAAAGGTGTGACTAGTTTCTCTAGAAATTGATAACTAAGAGATAATTGTTGAGAAGTTAGACAGACACTGAGATAAATACATACACACAAACGTACCAAATACATACAAATACATAAATACTTACCTAGTTACATACATACATAAACCTACATATTGATAATATATAAAACCTTAAGGTTGTAATGAATCTGCTAGGGTGTCAAGAATGCGAGCTCGAACATTCATCTTGAATGAGAGGCGGATGGGTGGGAGAGGTCGCTTTACACCAGACAGGTGTTTCTCAAGGAGATACTAGCCTTGTCTCCAACTCGAGTTCTGGCTGATATTAGTAATTCCTTACTAGATACGAGCTATGAATTCCATTACCTCGTTTTATCCTAGTGACACGTAGCAAGTACTCACATATTTCTGAAAAAAAACGGTTGCAAAAGAATGGTTGTTTGCAACAACAGTTTGATTCAATGGAAATCAACAAACAAATTTCTTCTAAATCTCGCACTCACTGATGCACTTTGTGTATTGTTGTAATTAAGTTCACTTTGTATTCTGGTAAATCTTTTTAAGTGTAAATTAAAACCAAGGGATATCTTAGTTAAATTGTATAGATACACGTTGTAAAATACATAATATAAAGATATAATTTAGTTGACAACAGGGATAGTACCTACTATGCATATGTTTTAAGTGAAACATCAAATATTGTAAAAAATTATATACACGTCAGTGCCGTGCTTTTTTTTACCTTTTTAGTGAATACGTTTTACCATTTTAGTCCATTTATACTAGTTAGTGGGTTTCGATTGCCTGACATCAGTCAGTTCGGATTATATATGCGACCCTGACCCACTGGAGCGATAGTTTACACTCCACAATCTATCCGTATAAGCATTATCTCCTACCGTTGCCTTCCCATCTTACCAACTTTACATTTCACATGGAGCTCTTAATTTTCCCATCTAATTCCTAAAGTGCCCAGTTGACGGTAATGGGCTTGCCTTCTTTTCGTAAGTGGGATTAACATCTGCTTACCTCTTCGTGGATATAGTTCGTATTTGTCAGTGTATTTGTATATATTTGTAGGATCAACTACGGAAACAACTAGATACATTGAAATCTGAGTCCTCCTCGCGCAAGAACTCGTCGGATCTTGAGATCAGCCTGAAAGAAAAAGACGAAGTGATCGCCCAGTTGCAGGAAGAGGGGGAGAAGCTGGCACGCCAGCAGTTGCAACACTCGAATATCATAAAGAAGCTGAGAGCCAAAGAGAAAGATAACGAACAGGTTATCAAGAGCTTGAGGTAATTCATGCCTTTTATTTTGTTTTACTAGATCTAAATTGCTATCTATTTAAAATAGGACATGTCTTTAGTAAGTAACGATATACATATGTAAAATGTATATCTATATATTGTATAAGTAATTATCTATATTTCAAAGACGATGCTGTCAACTTCTATGTTTTAAAAAAATAATGCTATCACCAGCCCAAGGTTTTCTTATACAGGTCGCTTTCAACGATAACAACACCCATTGTAATCTTATTTGGAAAATAATTATTGTTTTCTGTTCTTCATGAATGGTGTACAATAAAGAATCCCTTTTCTGTATACGTTGATAGTAAATTCAAAATATAATTTACGTCTTATTCATTTCGTTCTAAAATTCAGCACACCCTTGTCCCGAACATGTTATGAACTAGAAGTTTGCTTTTATATTACATTTCATGCCTTAACTACTACAACAAATATCGTCGAGTTTTTTTATATAAGAGAGGGCAAGCGAGCAGAAGGGTGATCTCATGGTTAGTGATTACCGCCGCCCATCCGCCCGTCACGAGTGCGTTGCCGGACTTTAAGATGGAAGTACGTGTGTGGTGACAGATTAAGAATACAGTGTGTCACCATCCCTAAATCTATCTCTTGGGTGTCGTAAGAGCCGCCTAAAAGCACTACAAAGAGAAGGAAATCTTGAAACAAACCCTATAGCAACCCGTTTGGCCAGTGTGGTATAGTAGGCCAAACCTCGGTCTTTTCTTCCTCGCAAACGCTCTTTTCTTAAAGGCTTGAAGGTCGTATCGGTCCGGTAATACTGCAAGCGACAATTTGTTTTACAACGACATTATATTCGTCCGAAAGCGCACAGTTATGGAGAGCTAATAATATATCCAAGTGATAGGGATGGAAAATATGTCGTTTTACACGATGGCGGCAATCTGTGGCCGAACAAGTCTGCCGTGCCAATCCAATACACTGTAACTCTTGAAAACGACTTTTGACTTTGAAAGCTTTGTTACAGTTTTTTACCTTGTTAAACCCCTAATTTCAATACAGCACAGTATTTTTTAGGTTATTGTCTAACAAAAGTGTTGATCAGGGGAACTAAACCGTCGTAAAGAAACTGATTGAGCGTTGTTCAGACAAAACACTGTAAGTCGAGTTACAGTCTTTTGGATTCACACGGCAGAATTCTTCAGAGCACATGTGTGTGTAGTAGTGATAAATATTTCCTGATTGTGTGCATTCCTGTGTACGAAATCATCTGATATTTGTTTCAGGGATAAAATAGCGGAACAAACGACGGAACTGGACCGGCTTAAGAGGTCGATTGCTGCGAAGGAAGAACTGGAAGTGAATCAGATCGAAGCCGTGTATCGGCTGACAACTACCAATAAGAAAATGGAGACTGAATTAATGGAAGTAAGTAAGGTATATTTTATTAGGGTATAGGTAAAGGAGCAGATTGGTCACCTGATGGTAAGTGGCTGTCACCACCCATGGACATATACATCTCAAGAGACAATGCGTTGCCGCTCTGTGAATGCTTCCGCTCTTTAGAATTAGGAATAGGGTGTATGGGTCTCTGGCAACCTAACTCACTCGATGAAAACTACCACATCACCAAACATGAATGCCACTATGACTGCACGGATGGCGTATTGGTTTAAGCGGTCGCCACGCCGCTACCTACTATACTGAGTGTTGTGGGTGATCCACTTAGGGGACGACACTTTGTGTGATCCACAAATTGTAATTCTGACTCTGGTTGTTCTTTGTGTCCGTTTTATATATGTTTGTAAAGTCCCCGCGCCACAGGATATATTCCCAGTGCGGAAGTTGTCTTTTAAAAAGAAAAAAAGAAAGCATGACTCTCCCACAATGCAAGGTACAGTCTTGTAAGATAGTCTAGATAGATAGAAATCTAATCGTCGGTAGCTGGTTGTGAGGGTTATTCACTGATTGGTAAGTGCCTTACACACTGTGCATGAGTTACTAGACAAATGTTTTATGTATTTGCTTATCGGCGTGCGCACGCGCTTATCAGTTGTGTTGTTGTAATATAATGACATGTGCGCTGAGTGGTATGTTCCTTTTATTTGCATTATTTATAAATGCGTAAATATGAAATAGTTTAGAGTAGGTTCGTTTTAATTTAATACAGCATTTACCTACATAGTGACAGATTTAGAATACAGAGTGTCACCACCCCTATTTATCCCGTGGGTGTCGTAAGAGCCGACTAAGGGAGCAAACTACGCAGGACAATAGCACTGCAAAGAGAAGGAAAACCTGAAACAAACCCTATACCAACCCGTCTGGCCAGCGTGGTATAGTAGGCTAAAACCTGCTTTCTAAGGAGAGGCCTATGTCCAGCAGTGGACTTTTAAAGACTGTTGATGATGATGATGAGTACCTACATAGAATGTATATAATGTTAAATTAAAACATTACAACTGTTAGGCAGAGGTGTTTTATTGTAATTCAATCCCACTTGGTAATAGATATGACTCTTATATAGCGTCTAGCTTATTATTGTTTTCAATCAAAAACTTGATGAAAATAGTGGAAGATATTGGTGTAGCTTTTAGAGACTCGTTTTCAATTAACTTTTGAAGTTAATAATCTAAAATTTTTAGTGTTTATTCAAAGTAGAAGACCTTTTATTGGGTTACAATAACTTGACTGCACGGATAGCGTAGTGGTTAAAGAGATCGCCCCGCCGTTTACTATTACACTGTGATACCGATGTGATCTACAAATTGTTGTTTTGATCTGGGTGTTTTATGTGTGCGTTTTATGTATGTTCGTAAAGCCTCCCTCCAAACAGGAAGTATTCCTAGTGCGGGAGTTGTCATTTTTATAAATATAAAAAATATGCCAACTCTAATTTTGTCCGAAGGTTAAAAGCTTACTGGACGATACGACGCATAAGCTGGACAGCACACGCACTTCCCTGGAGAGCGCGCGGCGGGAGTTGAACGACGTGCAGCGGGACAGGGCGGAGCTGGCGCGACGCGCCTCGCACCAGGCCGACGAGCACGAGCGGCGCCGGCGCGCCGACCTCGAGCTCGAGAGACTCCGCGCCGAGCTGCAGCAGCTCCGGCGGGACACGGTCAACGGTACGTTTCACGTCAGAGACGAAAACGGGTGCCCGCTCGATCGATACGGAAACTTAACTCTACTATAAGTCTATTTCCATATCGCTAGAGGAGAAGAAGTGGGTGCAGCGCTCGGAGGCGCTGCGCAGTGAGCTGCGCGAGGCGCGCGACGCGCTGGCGGCGCTCGAGGGCGCGCCCCCCGCCGACAGCGGCGCGGCCGCCGTACTGGCGCAGCTCGCGCACCTACAGCACCACGCGCTCACCCGCGACCATGCGCACGCGCACCACACCGCCCAGCTGCGGGCGCAACTCGGTACGTCGCAAACGCACGTCCTCGTCGCCCACCTACGTTTAATTCCACTCGCTCAGTGAGGGGTGAAAGTAATAAAGTGGCGGTAACCTAGTGGTTAAAGTATTGGACTTGTACCGATACGCTACCGACGTGAAGTCACTCTTAACACGAGCGATTTAGCTTAGCTAGGGTGTTAACAGAAATACTAGTTATTTCGGTTGCTAGTGAACCTTTAAAAAAAAGAATGTAGTCATAATATACACATAATGATAAAGAAGCATTTTATTTTAGCTGAAGTAGAACGCTCCCTGGCCACGGCACAAGAGAGGGAGCGCGTGTGTCGGGAGGAGAGCTCCGCGCTGCAGTCGCGGCTGGGCGACGTCGACGATCTGCTGGAGGCCGCGCGGAGGGACCTGAAGAGTCTATCGGAGAGGGAACATCGACACTTGATCACCATTGAAAGACTAGAAAACGAACTAGCGAGGTAACAAATCGACCTTACTTCTACTTGTTTACTGTACGATTTCACTTCAACTTAACTGAAATACTTAACTGTTCTGCATTCTATCCCCAAAACGATACACCAATATATATCCTAATAGTATTTTAAATATAATTTAAAAATCACTCATTGATAACTTAAAATATCAACACTTCTAACTAACCAAGAATATGATATGTCAAGTGCCAAACCTATAAAATATTACCCAGCTAAAAGTTGGACTCCTCGTAGCTTTACATCCTGAACTAAGCATTTGATGCTATCTCGATATGAAGTTTACGTTATGATTTCGAAATTATCACGAAGAATTTTAATTCGCTTAATACTATAATGTTATTTTTATATATCATAAACATTAAAAAAAAATGTAGGTGAACTCAACAATAAAACAATGATCACACATGACGATATTTTTAAGCGTGCCACAGGGCACAATCTTAGGTCACCACTTGTTCAGAATGTAGACTTGGAAACCATGTTTTTGTTAGACTTGTTATATTCTCTCAGAGTATCTACTCCGCTATAAGATGCTTCTAGTACATGCCAAATAACGGTGACCTAACAAAGATTAAGTACAAAATTACATTAATGAGTTCTAGAAAGTAACCATTGACAATGAAAATAAATAATCCTAATAAATATTTTATTGCGAAAGAGAGTACATATCTATTTTTATGTTTTCACGCTTTGTATAGCTGACTGATTATCAACGAATTTATAATATACAGATGGTATACAGCCAAGAACATAGACTCTCTCTTATGCACTAACAATAAAATAAATAATAACTTATTGAAACTAGTAGAAAGTAGTTGTTAATAATTCTGAGCACTTCACCAAAATTTTGTGTTGAACTTTAAATATATTAAATAGCATCTAAAGGATAATAATAAGATATATAATATATATTATTATATACTGTTTTACAGTAAAAATGTGGAGCTAAGTGGTTTACACATAGAGCACACGAGTCAAGTGACGGAACTACAAGAGAGGCTGTCTGAGGTGGAGCAACAACTCGAACTCGAACGAAACTTACTCGACACGGAGAAAAAAAGAAATGCTATATTACAGGTACCTTCATAAATGTTTATTGTAGTAATAGTCTGTTTTTTTACAGCAGCTATTTAGATAATATTTGAAACTGAAGTAAAATATATAATTTGAGCTTGGGAGAGTCAAGTTGAACACCGACCGGTGTTTAACAATTCTTTTGTTGCATTTCACCAATTGAGTATATTAATCGGAGGGCCCGCAATCGGCCGGTAATCTTGGTAGTGGTATCTTTTGAGTTCTTTCGAGCGACAGATCATTAGGCTTACCGCCTATAAAGAAAAAATCTACAAAGGATTGATAGATGTTTATAATCGTGTTCTAGGATCCATTCTACAAACGCTGAGTAATAAATAGTAGAATATAATGATGTCAAGTTGCAATAAGTTGTGTGTGGTGCGCAGGAGCAGGTGGCGTACCGCGGCGACGTGTCCCCGCCGCACTCCGTCACGTCCGAGGCGCTCTCCGCCTCGCTGTGGCACTCGGTACGTACTCCGCCTCGAGGCATTTGCTAATTTATTCTCCGTCAACTAATGTTACTGTTAACTTTCTAAATAATTTTTGCTAGTGACTTCGCTCGCGTGAACATAATTCTGAACGGTCAATTTAAATGTGGTTAACGCGAATGAATGAAAAATTGAGATAGGCTCTATAACTAAGATGTAAAAGTTTAATAAAAAATTCTCATTTTTATCCGGCTCGAAGGACCAAGTGTTAATGCCCCAGAGTTGGTTTCTTTGTCGGTTCACATCGGAACGTCGAATATTAGTGTGAGTATTGATTAAGGATTAGGGTACCTACACGTATATGAAGAAGTCGTTCTATGTGTGTCAGGAGGAGGGCCGAGGCAGCCCGCCCGCGCTGTGCGCCGAGGACGCGCTCACGCGGCGCGCCGGCGAACTGCGCGCCCTGCAGCAGCAGCGCGACTCGCTCCTGGCCGACCGCGCCGCGCTCACCTCGCACCTCGCCAAGCTGCAGGCCGCGCTGGACGACCAGCAGGTACGTGCCACTGTATACAGCTGCAGCACAGCGCGACTCGCTCCTGGCCGACCGCGCCGCGCTCACCTCGCACCTCGCCAAGCTGCAGGCCGCGCTGGACGACCAGCAGGTACGTGCCACTGTATACAGCTGCAGCACAGCGCGACTCGCTCCTGGCCGACCCGCGCCGCGCTCACCTCGCACCTCGCCAAGCTGCAGGGCCGCGCTGGACGACCAGCAGGTACGTGCCACTGTATACAGCTGCAGCACAGCGCGACTCGCTCCTGGCCGACCGCGCCGCGCTCACCTCGCACCTCGCCAAGCTGCAGGCCGCGCTGGACGACCAGCAGGTACGTGCCACTGTATACAGCTGCAGCACAGCGCGACTCGCTCCTGGCCGACCGCGCCGCGCTCACCTCGCACCTCGCCAAGCTGCAGGCCGCGCTGGACGACCAGCAGGTACGTGCCACTGTATACAGCTGCAGCACAGCGCGACTCGCTCCTGGCCGACCGCGCCGCGCTCACCTCGCACCTCGCCAAGCTGCAGGCCGCGCTGGACGACCAGCAGGTACGTGCCACTGTATACAGCTGCAGCACAGCGCGACTCGCTCCTGGCCGACCGCGCCGCGCTCACCTCGCACCTCGCCAAGCTGCAGGCCGCGCTGGACGACCAGCAGGTACGTGCCACTGTATACAGCTGCAGCACAGCGCGACTCGCTCCTGGCCGACCGCGCCGCGCTCACCTCGCACCTCGCCAAGCTGCAGGCCGCGCTGGACGACCAGCAGGTACGTGCCACTGTATACAGCTGCAGCACAGCGCGACTCGCTCCTGGCCGACCGCGCCGCGCTCACCTCGCACCTCGCCAAGCTGCAGGCCGCGCTGGACGACCAGCAGGTACGTGCCACTGTATACAGCTGCAGCACAGCGCGACTCGCTCCTGGCCGACCGCGCCGCGCTCACCTCGCAACCTCGCCAAGCTGCAGGCCGCGCTGGACGACCAGCAGGTACGTGCCACTGTATACAGCTGCAGCACAGCGCGACTCGCTCCTGGCCGACCGCGCCGCGCTCACCTCGCACCTCGCCAAGCTGCAGGCCGCGCTGGACGACCAGCAGGTACGTGCCACTGTATACAGCTGCAGCACAGCGCGACTCGCTCCTGGCCGACCGCGCCGCGCTCACCTCGCACCTCGCCAAGCTGCAGGCCGCGCTGGACGACCAGCAGGTACGTGCCACTGTATACAGCTGCAGCACAGCGCGACTCGCTCCTGGCCGACCGCGCCGCGCTCACCTCGCACCTCGCCAAGCTGCAGGCCGCGCTGGACGACCAGCAGGTACGTGCCACTGTATACAGCTGCAGCACAGCGCGACTCGCTCCTGGCCGACCGCGCCGCGCTCACCTCGCACCTCGCCAAGCTGCAGGCCGCGCTGGACGACCAGCAGGTACGTGCCACTGTATACAGCTGCAGCACAGCGCGACTCGCTCCTGGCCGACCGCGCCGCGCTCACCTCGCACCTCGCCAAGCTGCAGGCCGCGCTGGACGACCAGCAGGTACGTGCCACTGTATACAGCTGCAGCACAGCGCGACTCGCTCCTGGCCGACCGCGCCGCGCTCACCTCGCACCTCGCCAAGCTGCAGGCCGCGCTGGACGACCAGCAGGTACGTGCCACTGTATACAGCTGCAGCACAGCGCGACTCGCTCCTGGCCGACCGCGCCGCGCTCACCTCGCACCTCGCCAAGCTGCAGGCCGCGCTGGACGACCAGCAGGTACGTGCCACTGTATACAGCTGCAGCACAGCGCGACTCGCTCCTGGCCGACCGCGCCGCGCTCACCTCGCACCTCGCCAAGCTGCAGGCCGCGCTGGACGACCAGCAGGTACGTGCCACTGTATACAGCTGCAGCACAGCGCGACTCGCTCCTGGCCGACCGCGCCGCGCTCACCTCGCACCTCGCCAAGCTGCAGGCCGCGCTGGACGACCAGCAGGTACGTGCCACTGTATACAGCTGCAGCACAGCGCGACTCGCTCCTGGCCGACCGCGCCGCGCTCACCTCGCACCTCGCCAAGCTGCAGGCCGCGCTGGACGACCAGCAGGTACGTGCCACTGTATACAGCTGCAGCACAGCGCGACTCGCTCCTGGCCGCCCGCGCCGCGCTCACCTCGCACCTCGCCAAGCTGCAGGCCGCGCTGGACGACCAGCAGGTACGTGCCACTGTATACAGCTGCAGCACAGCGCGACTCGCTCCTGGCCGACCGCGCCGCGCTCACCTCGCACCATCGCCAAGCTGCAGGCCGCGCTGGACGACCAGCAGGTACGTGCCACTGTATACAGCTGCAGCACAGCGCGACTCGCTCCTGGCCGACCGCGCCGCGCTCACCTCGCACCTCGCCAAGCTGCAGGCCGCGCTGGACGACCAGCAGGTACGTGCCACTGTATACAGCTGCAGCACAGCGCGACTCGCTCCTGGCCGACCGCGCCGCGCTTCACCTCGCACCTCGCCAAGCTGCAGGCCGCGCTGGACGACCAGCAGGTACGTGCCACTGTATACAGCTGCAGCACAGCGCGACTCGCTCCTGGCCGACCGCGCCGCGCTCACCTCGGCACCTCGCCAAGCTGCAGGCCGCGCTGGACGACCAGCAGGTACGTGCCACTGTATACAGCTGCAGCACAGCGCGACTCGCTCCTGGCCGACCGCGCCGCGCTCACCTCGCACCTCGCCAAGCTGCAGGGCCGCGCTGGACGACCAGCAGGTACGTGCCACTATGATTGATACTCACCCACGCTGACTGATAAACCGGCACATCCAAGACAGAATAGCTTCAAAACTGAGATCTGCAGTAAGTCATCTGACCGGTGGCCAGGAACATGTAAAGTCTATCAGTAAAAAAAGACAATTCTCCGTAACTTAAAAACCGACAAAAGTGAACTTAACCAATACAAACACATTTCGTTTATACTGACAGAGCGTGCAAGAGCAATACGACGCGTTGCTCCAGATGTACGGCGAGAAGGAGGAGCAGATAGCGGAGTTGCGGCTGGACCTGCAGGACGTGACGTCACTGTACAAGGCTCAGCTCGACGAGCTCATCGCGCTGAAGCAGGCCAAGCGATAGCGCTCCTCCACTTGCCCACCGCTGGCCCACTGCTGGGGCAATACACGCGCTCATTGCAGGTCCAACACACTGTAACGAACTTTTTAGAGATGGTTAGGAAATATTATATACACAGTGTAATAAATACTGCCTTCGTCATAGTTAATTTATTAAAATTTAACTAGAAATATATATTATTTAGCGCCAAATTCTGAGTAAGGAAGAAGAAAATTATGTAAAAGACAATTCCAGACAAGAAAACTGAGAAAAAAAAAGAATATATCCATACTTGTAACTTGCGTCTTCTAACTAATGTCTTTTTTGCAAGGTGTTTGATACACTCGGTATTTTTTACCTTTAATGATATTTTAATATAACTATGCTTCAAATTTTACATACTTATTTACTGTATTACTTGAATAAATACAAAATATGTATATATTATGTATGTAATGAAATCATTTAAAACAGTGTGCCATTCACTAAATTTGTATTATATTGTATATTATATATAGAAGGCAACATGTAAAAAAGGAATGTCTTTTATTGCAGTTACTTTGGCTGAGATTTATTACTAAATATACAATACTTCTTGAGCTGTAATGGACACTATGTACATATTGTTTTGGGTCAAAATCTAATGGCAAGACATGACTATATAATCAGGCCAGGCCCACTTCGCGCTTTAGGTATGGAGCTACAAGTACGCGGGGACGGATTCCACGGTCTATACATCGAGTTACCCTGTACCTAGGGTTATTACTACCTTCTCAATTTTGTTTAAAAAGTTCTTACCTTACTACCCTTTAATTGAATTAATGTCAAAGTTTAATATTCAAATTAATAACTCATAAGAAGTTATATGAGTTATGTGGTAGAAAAGAGTCACTTCTAGGTGAATATAATTGTAGGTACTTTGGGACTTGTAACCTGAATTGCACTTTGTTGTGTAGAATCGAGAGTCGTTATTTATTTAAATGTTTTTGCGGAGTGGGTCGTCTTTACTTGTGGTCTTATATGTTCAAACACTTGCTAAGCTAATGAATTATTTATTTCTACACTGTACAAAATTAATGTCTATCTGTAGAATTTGTAGATTTCTAAGATGTCCTAGATCTAATTAATAAAACTCTGTGCACATCACATCGTCACATCAACAGCCTTTAATAGTCCACTACTGGACATTTTCCCTCTCCTTAGAAGGGAGGGTTTATACTATGTGCAATATAAATATTTTCCTTGTTTGAAAAATGGTATCAATCTTTCAAATTAAATTATTGATTTTTTACTTTGTTTTACTGCGGTGGGCTTTTAACCAATGTTTCAAAATAGCAAGTATATTGTAAGATTACATTTATTTCTGATGAGTAATAACTCATACAAAAATCTAACAATAATTATTGTAGGAAATTTTGTAAGATATTTCTGGTATATTAGAAGTTTTTTAAAAAGACAATATAATATTTAAAAAAAAGCCTAATGTCAAATATAGCCGTTCATAGCTAGCGTAATTAAAGAAACAAAATTATATTGTTTTTATCTGTATTCCCTCGAAAGGACTGATAAATCATATGTGAATTTCAATCACTTTAATGGTTTTCTTAAGACTAATTTCACTGTTCAAAAAACGTCTGCGATCTACTTGTAACTTAATAGAGATTGGGTTATATATACATATATATTGTATAAAGTTTAATATAATACATGATTAACTTACATGGCGCTAATATAACCACTATGTACCTAAGTGTGTACATAAGTCTGTAAAACTATTCTGTAAAAAAGTATTTGTTCTTAAAAATTTAGCCTTCGATTGGCGAATACAATTCTCCAAATCTTGACTGTTCCTTTATTTATAATTTCGTCCTGTAATAGTAATTGTAAAGAATTTATTAACTAAATTATATAAGTCTCTTAGAAGTGTTATTAGTGTACCTTTTTAAATTCCTGACACTTGATTGTTATTGATAGGAAATAGAAGGATGATTGTTGAGAAGACAAACAACTAAGAAACAAAGTACTGCCTTTTAGTAGGTGTCGTGTTAGTGTTTTCATTTACCCTGTTTCTTAGGTACCTAGAAAATGGGGAAGAAATTGGAAATATTTTTTTTGTTACTTTAATAGGTGCACATCTGTCGGTTGGAACTGTGTAGTAAGGAACATTTAAAAAAATTGTTTTAATGCAATAAAATGCATGAAATAACCAAAACATGATCAGACTAATGCTTGATTTCAGTCATTGTACTTGTGTATGAAAAAAAACTACCTACGCTTTTGACCATTACCGTCTGTTATTCTATACTAGTCTATAAAAATTCATCTCATTCTCTGTGACATCCCAAGCACAGTGATATCCTCAGAATACTGTTTGTCTTCTCAGTAACACAACTGTGTAGTCATTGTGTGGAGTCTTGTGGAACATACACTAAGGGTCAGTATATTTGCTGGCTTTTGTATATATCACTTTCATATTTTATAAATATAATAAATCAACTAATTTAGTTGGGAAAAAAGCTCGGAGGAAGAAACAAACCAACTCTAACCACGTTGACTGTTCATCTTTCCCATCCGACTGTACATTTACTGTAACTAAAACAAGAGCCCAGTGTGAGTTCATTTCACATCATGTTCACCGTTGCGATTGGCCCGCACTGCACTCTTCACCAATCGCATGCTAAACTATCGAGTTGATGTAAAGTATCACGGCATCATGTGGATGTGGGTGTGTTTGTGTTGGGTAGGTAGAGATAGTTTTGACGAGCTTTTTTGTGATATTTGCGTATCATGAATACTGCCCACTATATTTTATTAAAATAGATTATGTTTTAAATAAATAAGTGTGAGGGTCATCGATGTAGGAATATGTGACAGTCGAAAAGAACGAGATCATAATGGTTCAATAGTCAGTATTATAATGGGATCAGTCTTGAAGTACCGAAGGCAGTGTCACACGTATCTACGACTTATCGGCGGTGGTTTAATATTCTTCATTCTAGTTATGAAACAGATCTATAAATATTTAAGTTCCTTACATTCAAACCATGTGATTATTGTTATGTAAATAAAAATTATTGCCGATTATATTCTTGTTTCAGTCCACTACCCTTTTGCATATTGTTTGGGATTTTATGATATGATCATGAATGGTATAGGCACAGTTAATTTATTCGCTGGCCCTTATTTCACACCCACTTGATCGGCACGATGACCGCAACCTTCGGTGTTGCGATTGGTCCGCACTCACCGTCGTAAGCGAGTTGTTGTGAAAAAAACTCACACTAAGCCCTCTGATCGCTATTTTCCCACTTCTTTACACGTTGTATCGCAGAACTAGAATGACTACACCGGGTGACAGTGGCAGTGGGTCCACATAATCTCAACTTGAAACGATCCTGACTGGTCCTGGTGGATCCTACTTCACCTATTAGGATCGTCCCAGATCGCCAGACTACTAAATATCAAATATTTGATAAGAAGAACCACGATTTCTTTTGATGTAGAGCTTTATTTATTTATTTATTAAGTCTTCCTGCAAACATATTGCATAAGGCGGACTTAATGCCTTAGGCATTTTCTTCCAATCAAAGGATGTTGGACAGCTGTGTGTGGCAGGTGTATATTTGGGACAGGTAAAAGTGAGACTGAATTAAGCCATGTTACAATGGCAGAAAAGAAAAAATCCTACAGATATATAAGTACTAGATATACATACATATAGTTTATACATTTAAATATCATAATAAATGCCAAAATATATAAAATACGAAGATAATAAATATACTCTTAAGGTGTTTTTCTGTTTATAAGGCTGCTTTTTAGTTTAGGTTGGTAAAATTGTTTTTAACACAATTTTATTAGCACAGAGGACAGTAATACTATGAAAAATTTGATTCATAGGTGGAAGAAATAAAACTGGGCCAAGATAATATAAATTACGCTGATTTTGAAGTTAAACAATTAAAAGCATACATAAAATGTAAAATAAAAAAGACAAAAATTCTGAATAGTCCACGACAAGTAATAAACGACGAAATATTCTAAAATGGATAATCGATCATTCATCGTGTGCGTTACCTCAGCAAAATAATGTCGAAAATGGTCATTTAAACTTTATAGATAATTAGTTGCTCCCCTTCTGTAATTGTTAGGCACATTTTTAAATTTGTTTCACTTAAACTTTTTTAGTTATTTCAAAAAAACATTTCCTGCTGGGGTAACGTTTGAAACGTTACCGCAGCCAGACATTTTCTTTTTTAATTGCAATATTTAAATAAATTTTAGCTAGATAATTAGTTATCTGGACTAGGTAAATGTTACAACTTATTTGGTATTTGTATTTTCTTCGGCTGCGAAGTTATTCGAAATCCTGCTGGAGTAACGTTTGTGGGTTTGCTGGATCTCTGAAACGGGTAAGCGGATTGTAACCATCTTTTGTACATAACTTCTTAAGAATTAGTTTTAATTTGTTCGACAATAAAATAATAAAAATAATGGACCGTTTAAAAATTATTTAGGTAAGTACGAAAACACTTCAATACGTCCTAACACTTTAAATAAGACCTCTAAAGACTTACTTGAAACGTTATTCTATTGCTTGTAACTACCTTCAAATGTATACGAATTTTCGTAAGAATACTGTAAGTGACTAAAAAGTTATGATGAAATGTAGCTCTCCACGTTCACGATCACAATGTGTGCGGCCTTTTTTGGCCACCGATAAACCTGTGTGTGGATATATAAACTGAATGTTATGCCAATAATTAGTTGTTTAGTTCAGTTGTCTACCTGTAGAATTTCAGCGTCGTACATATAATAATTTACGAGATAATTAAATAAAAGTCATTAGAAGGTGCAAGTCCATGGTAATCCGACTATGTTTAGGTGGTTACAAAAAAGCGATCACCCAGTACATTGCGCTGTCTTTTAAAATGTTTAGTGTAATACACCTTACGATTTCGGTACAGTTGCGTACAGTGTTAAATACATTCAATATTTATTCATTATTATTACCTATTATTTATTTTGTTTTTTTTTTTCTAATTGATCTTAAGCACTTGTTTCTTTACTTAAAATTTATTTAGTCTTTTTTACTACCGGAGCTACAATCAACAGAAAATCTGCACTGGTCCGCTAAAATTATAAATATGTAGATACATGTATGAACGATTCACCTGACTGCAATAAAACGAAAATTTAAACCTATAAGAAATCGTTTCATTTCTTTGATTTTTTTTGTAAATAAATAACACTAAAGTAATTGTATTTTATTTTGGGGTGTATAGAGCTTAGACTTGAATGCATCAAAATATTTAAAGCAACAAGTCATCTACAATAAGTTAAAATAGACCGAATAGTAGAAGAATACAGTTGTAAATTAGAATGCATCAACATTGCATCGCCCAACAGTCGTATAACTCGTAAGAGTAGGTAATATTGTTCTGTGGTCTTTACCTAGAACCGAGAATTATCTATACCTATGTACCTACCGTTAAGCGTTGAGCCCGTGACTGTTGATTTCTGTTAAAAACGAACAGTTGTTGAATGATATTTTGATATAATAACGGTAATTTAATTTATCGAGTGAAAGTGATACATTTTTATAGATAAAATTATTGGTCAGATAATATTTATCAATCAAGAATCGCTGATAATACATCCTTCGCTAGAACGCGGGAGGGGAGGGGCGAAGGGATACTTCATTGTTTGCCTTTTGCATCTAGTGCACTAAACTTGACCCTTAGGCAGATAATATACGTGTTGTAAAGTACGTGTGCGCTTCCGCTTCCTATTTCTGCAAATATTTATCGTATTCTTGAGAGTTCTTCAATATGTGTGTACCTAATTACTAATAATAGGCATTAATGCTAATTCGATTCAATTTAAGTAATTGTCAATTCTTGTCTTAGGATATTAATTACTAATGCTAATATTGAAATTTCGTTCAGGGTGAACAAATTAAAAACGATCATAACTTTTAGGTAGGTATATCACTTATTACTAATTTTACATAAATAATTTATTTTATTATAATTTAACTCACCGCGATTTTGTGATCAAATATTTTATTTTCTCCAACATTATTACAGAAATAATGCAATACAGAGTTTGTTCGCGATATGCTAGCCTAAGTCGATTCATCACTTAAAAAAATCCCCATCTATTCACAAAATACCTATTTACAACGCATACGTTACACTCTTCAAAACTTATCATTTCATTTCATATTTCTTAAATTACCTATACCTACCCTAAAATTAAACTTCAATTAACAAATACTACGTAGGTACCAATTCTATGAACAACTATAAACAATTCACCTAAACATTACGAGAAAACAAAAGCATTCAAAACAATACCTAATCTCCCGGCTGATTACTAATTATGCAATAAACAATCCTAAATAAAAAATATTTAAAAAACATGTAGTTTTTTGTAACACTTATGTACATATCCGTAGTAAACTTCCAAATAGTATCCTACATATTTTAAAAGCCAGCACAATGTACTGGGTGATCGCTTTTTTGTAACCACCTAAACATGGTCGGGTTACCACGGTCTTGCACCTTCTAATGACTTTTATTTAATTATCTCGTAAATTATTATATGTACTACGCTGAAATTTTACAGGTAGACAACTGAACTAAACAACTAATTATTGGCATAACATTCAGTTTATATATCCACACACAGGTTTATCGGTGGCCAAAAAAGGCCGCACACATTGTGATCGTGAACGTGGAGAGCTACATTTCATCATAACTTTTTAGTCACTTACAGTATTCTTACGAAAATTCGTATACATTTGAAGGTAGTTACAAGCAATAGAATAACGTTTCAAGTAAGTCTTTAGAGGTCTTATTTAAAGTGTTAGGACGTATTGAAGTGTTTTCATACTTACCTAAATAATTTTTAAACGGTCCATTATTTTTATTATTTTATTGTCGAACAAATTAAAACTAATCCTTAAGAAGTTATGTACAAAAGATGGTTACAATCCGCTTACCCGTTTCAGAGATCCAGCAAACCCACAAACGTTACTCCAGCAGGATTTCGAATAACTTCGCAACCGAAGAAAATACAAATACCAAATAAGTTGTAACATTTACCTAGTCCAGATAACTAATTATCTAGCTAAAATTTATTTAAATATTACAATTAAAAAAGAAAATGTCTGGCTGCGGTAACGTTTCAAACGTTACTCCAGCAGGAAATGTTTTTTTGAAATAACTAAAAAAGTTTAAGTGAAACAAACTTAAAAATGTGCTTAACAATTACAGAAGGGGAGCAACTAATTATCTATAAAGTTTAAATGACCATTTTCGACATTATTTTGCTGGGGTAACGCACACTCATTCATCGATCTAAAAAGAGCCTTCGACACGGTCAGACATATTCTTATGGACAAGCTTAATGCTATTGATCTTTGTGAAAAGGCTCATAATTTTTCCAAATCATATCTCGCAGATCGCTCTCAAGTTGTTAAAATCGGAGATTACCAGAGCTCCCTACATTCTATAACCTACGGAGTTCCCCAGGGGTCTATTTTGGGCCCCTTATGTTTTTAATTTATTTAAACGATATAAGTAAACTAAACCTCAAGGGAGATCTTTCGCTCTATGCTGATGATAATAGCCTGTTCTATTTTGGGTATAATATAGATTTAATTATACAGTATGCTCAAAATAATCTTGATCTTATTAATGACTGGTTTTACTCAAATCTACTGTTGTATTGACTTATGTATTGACTATCAACACCAATAAAAACTCATTATGTAATATTAGCAGCCAAAAATAAAATCAATAACGATGCTGTTACACTTAAAGTTAATAATGTATCTATTAGTAAATCAGAGCAAGAAAATTTTTGTTACTTCACATCTATACATAAAAGACCTTTATTGTCACGTAATATTTATTTGTTACCCATGCATGCTCGTCCGAATATTTTATAGTTATTAGTGTATAAGTTCTCATGTAAGTGAATGTACAAATTCTTATGAGAATAAAGATTTCTGAAAACAAAAACTGTTTATTAGGTTAAATCGTAGAACTTTGAACCGTGCATTATGGAAGAGCATGTTAGAAGAACTATTCTGCTGGTCAAAGTTGCGTTAATATTGTTTTATGATAAAAGTAGTAGGTTACTAACTAGGTAACTTACTGATTTGTTGCCTTTCCAATGACTAATAAAAATATTGATAAGATAAAGAAGGTTGCTGAAAACTTGTTGGCGGCGATAGTACGTAACCGGTAGATAGATAAATAGATAATTAAGTCATTTACCAAAAGATACTCTGCTGTTATAAGTCCTAATGAGTAGTAGAGAGAGTAGTATGCTCACCACATTAGCAGTTTGCAAGTTGAAATAAATATGATTGGTTGATTCATTATGGTAGTACACAAGTTTTGTTATACCAAATAAAAAGTGGATATTAAAATAAGATTCATTTTTTAACAGAAGTTTTCCAGAAACAATAAGTGAAATAAATTTTTTTTAACCCGGATAAACCACTTGTAGAAATAGCTATGTCACATGTGCAATTTTAGCCTGGTAGCCAATATTTAAATTAAAGGGATGTAATAAATTTAATTAAAGAACGCTTCAACAGAACTCGTTTTATAATGTTAATGACCATTAGCTGTAAATGTAAATAGATAAACTATTTTGCCCTGGTCTCCTATAGACACATTCATAATTATCGTGGAAGAGCCATGCTTCAATACTTCAGATGCCTAACCAACAAACATTATTTTATTGTTTCTTAATTATCTTAATTTGTATTAGAAACCTCTACAATTCATTTTTTTTTAAGTTTTATGTATAAAAAGTGAGAAGTATTATTTATTTAAAAAACTACGTTAATGATATTTCTATCTTGCTACATTATACTAATCTGTGGATATATCACAGATGAAATAATCAAATTGAAAAGATTAAGAAAAAAGAAAAGACATTAGAATGTGAGATTCTGAACCTATAAGTAACAGCCTGAAATTTTACTTTTTATGCTTGTAAATATGAAGTTTATAAATGAAAATTTGTGGTATTTATTATCATTTTATATCATTTTAATATCAATTCAAGATTTAATACCTATCACTTTGAGTCTACAAGTACAATTATTTTATTATCTGTCTTCGTCTTTATTTTGAGTTACCCAGTGCTGCCAACCTTCCAAGAAATAACATCAATTTATCCACGAATGTGTATTTTTTTTAAATTTACGTAACAATCGTAACACTATATTTTATATTTTGGTGAATAAACTGCCCGTTAACGTAATAACTTTTTATTTTGTAATTACATTCAAATGTGTTTGACTTAGTATTTGCTACGTAAACTTAGTTATAATACAAATTTAATATTTCTTCTAACTTTCAATGTTTTCCATCATAGAAACATTAACCCACACACGTAACCATATAATAACAAGTATTGTATTCGTCACAAACAATAAGCGATTCTACTACATCCTTCACTAGCCTTAAACTTTGTTTACATTCCATGTGTGCGTATTGATTTATATCGACAAGTAGACGTGACAATAGTGTTCCGACATCGATCGGTTGCCTACTTTTTTTCTGGGGTAAATAATTCGCATTCTTGCAGAAAATTTATTTTCTGAATTGTGCCATTAATATTTTTTCCATTTTATCATTATATTAAATCGTTCAAATTACATAGAAATATCAATAAAATGTTAATAGTAATTTTATTGTTTACAGATCATGGTACTGACGAAATTTCATTTCGAGTTGTTTAGCTACGCTAGTCGTAGTTTCGGTGCCGAGGTCGTGCGGTCGTTTCGTCGGGGAACACATTCGCTATCTCGGAACAATTCAAAATTTCTGCGACAGAATATTCGGACAATGTCGTCTTCAAGTAATCCAAATGCTGATGCTGGAAGTGGCAAAGCCTTGACCATCGACAACCTTAATCCTAATGTAAAAGCCCTGGAATACGCTGTTCGTGGACCGCTCGTAATTCGCGCCGGCGAAATTGAAAAGGAAATAGAGAAGGTATGTACTAATAAATAATTTTACAGGGTTTACTACAATAAACTGAAACTACTTTTGATTGAGGAATATTAATTAGTTTAATTACAAATGCTTTTAAAAGGAAAAACATTTTGATGGTTATTTTTAACTTACAGTACATTCCTCATTGATTAAGCACAATAGCGTAATTATGTATATAAAGACGGGATTTAACCCTTGACCTGTAAATAGACAAAAAAAAAATGACATTCAGATCATTGTCAGAATTCCTCTGAAGGATACGTACAAGGAATTGTAGTAGAAGAAACAGAAATTGTAGAAGAATAATGTATTAGAAATTAAAACATTATAATTAGTAAGTTTCTGGTAATGATCTTGCGGAGAAGTTTTCTTTTCCTTGACTATATCCATAATTGCAAGCATTGTTCTTTACTATATAATACCTTTTTAACACACTTAATATATCATTTAGCACACTTAATATATCATTTACCAAAATATTATCCTTAAATTATTTAGAATATTTTTTTGAAATGTGGCTATTGCAAAGTTACTTACACAAACTGATATTTTTATCAAACTGAATTCCTTGTAATAGTCAACATAAAGTTCCTGCTTTTTTTAGTGGTCCGTACCATCGTACGTATCATTCATTATTATTAAGCAACCAATCTGTCAATGCAAATCACAATTATGTTATCAGTGACAAACACTCAGCTGTTGAAACTGATAAGGTAATTAACTAATATCACAATAATTAAGTCAGCTTTATAGCTGTCAAAACATGACGACTCTGAAGTGTTGAATTATCGTGCGATAAATTTTCTTTAATATTGATGTATTAAAATAGTATAATAAACTTTCATATGGTAAAAACTTCTTTCTAAGGAGAGGTCTATGTCTAGCAGTAGACTGCTAGAAACTGTTGATGATGTTGGTATAACTTATTTAAATTGTAAAATTTTGTGTTCTTCATCCCTTAGCAGTACATATTTTTCAAATTATGCAATATCAGGTCAATTTTTTTTTATTAAATGTGACACGGAGCCATGAAAACATCAGCAAGTTTGCTGTTTAATAATAATAAAATTGATTCACAACCTGAGATTATATAAGATAATATAATACCCATAAAAATATTCAGTTGCAGCCTATTTTTTTAAGTCAGGTATAACTTGTAAGACTGTACTTGTAAATTATTTCAGAAGCACTTAAATCACAATGTAGAGCAAAGTTATAACCGAAGATGGACTACACAATTTATTTCACATCTTTATCAAAGAATGAAGTTAAGCAATCAGTTACTAAAAATGGAGGGACACCATTCCCTCATTTCTTATTAAATAACGCAACAACTTATCTATCATGTTGATAACGGTAGATTTGCCACGTTATTGTGCTCTATAAATATTTTATTACTGACTGAAACAACCTCTTTAAAAGAAATTAAAAAACTAATCATTACTCTGTAAATCTATGTTTATGATTCTATTGATGCAGACTGTAAATATTCAGATTAAAAACAGTTATTTTCTTAGCATAGCAATCTAATTATTATCATTGATGATGAGTAACAAGAGGAATGTGGTAGTTGGACTTCTTATACTTCACAAGTTTTACAAGATCATCATCCCATCACCAATTTTTTATGTAGATCAAATGTAGAAAAAAAGACTATGTTCAATATGTGCTTTAAAGTTTAAAAATATATCAAGTTACCAGATAAAGTAAACTAAGGCCTATATCTGTTTGTTTTTTACCTCACATATTATATGAATATTATTCCTTGGATTATAAATAATAGAGGATGATGGATGAATTTGAGTGTAGTATGGCGCACTGTGTTATTTTAGTCGATTTGATACCGACACACTTTAATACCGTAAACCCTGGTGACGGCCCGAGGGGTTTTCTACATGCACAAATAAAAACGCGCAATAAAAAAATCTGTTTAATGTGCCATACTTAAGTGCATAAATACTGCAAGGTGAAATCGATTTACACCATGCGCACAATTGACTTATTAGCAATGTCAGCCAAGGTCATGTCTCATACAAACATTAAAATATAGCAAACTTCTTTATTTAATATCATCATCATCATCATCAACAGCCTTTAATAGTCCACTGCTGGACATAGGCCTCTCCTTAGAAAGAAGGTTATTTAATATAATTTAATAGTAACATTCTATTGACGACAAGTTCGCCCATTGCATCTGACGTAATTGCACTTTATGTATTTATTAAGCTGTTTATTGTTGGTATATAAGATTATTCCGTTCTAAAGCTTTGAGTTTATTAGTTATACATACTTATAGCTGAAAGCACCAGCCAGATTCTTGAGGAAGGTTACGTAACATTATATTACGACCTTAACCTTTGTGATAGTAACCATAAACGCGTATGAACCTGCGGGAAAGAGCTAGTCGGTCTTCGTTTCATAAGTCGTTCAGTAAAATTAAGTCCTTTAACATTACAACAACAACACAACTGTACAACTGCACAACAATAAAAGTTAAATCATACTTCTCCCATAGGAATTCTGTGCTTTACTTGTAGGTAAGCAAATCTCATCCAAAATAAAGGCTGAAAAACTGTGCTGTACACTAGAAATGACCTATTCTTCCCTTTTTCTCCGGGATAGGGCCTGTTTATATGTTTTGCGTCGATTCAGAGGGGACCTGAAATCACAAGAGTAGGGCCTGAGGCCGGCCGTCAGGGTGGTCTTAGTGGATACAACATATTCTTCTGACTCCTAAATGACGATGGCGTCCCCAAAGACGGCTCTTTCGGTGATCTGAAGTCGGGACGGCCGGTCGGACTAGGTCATTTTTTTTTTTTTTTTTTTTTTTTTCCATTTATTTAGGTAAATAAACAACGACACAATACAAAGTTTTGAATAACATTACTTATTAAGTATGTGCAACTGTGTCATCAGCGACATTTACCACAGAGTAATGAAGTAATATTTATAGGGTTTGAGAACATTGAGAGTTGATAGTTACAAAGTAACATTATGGATATTTATAGTAGCTTAATGTTTTATATTAATTAAAATTCAGACTTTCCAGCAAGAGTTTTTTAAAAGTACTAGGACGCGTTGCCATAAGATCAATAGTAAGAAAATGCTTGTTATAACTATCAACTAATCTGTGCATCGCTGATCTCTTGCCTGCATTAGTTCGACATCGAGAAGTTGCAAAAATTTTACAGATGTTACGACAATGAGTCCTTGCGGGCACGACATAACAAAGCTTGCTCGTAAGTGCAACGCAATCATAATTGTTGTGGCATAGATCATACAGTAACATTGCTTGTAAATATAAGCGTCTATGTTCTAATGTTATACAGTTATATTTTATTTGTAGATCTTTATATGAAGACGATTTGCGATAGCACTTGTAATGCATACAGCGCAAAAATTTCTTTTGGACTAATTCTATGGCAGTTATATACTTTTCATAAAATGGATTCCAGACTGGCACAGCATATTCAAGTTGTGAGCGAACTAGAGATTTATATAAATAAAGATAAGTCGAGGGCTGAGTAAAACATGTACTGGAGCGAACAATGAAACCATACATTTTAAAAGCGTTGCTAACTATAGTGTTGACATGGTTATCAAGTTGTAGCTTACTGTCTAAGAGGACTCCCAGGTCTCGTATTACTTCCACTTCTTCAATTTGTATACCATTTAAAGTGTAATTGAATTTACTGACATTTTTCTTTTTAGTGAAAGTGATAGATTTACATTTATTGACACTCAATGCAAGTTTATTCTTAATACAGTATGCTGTAAAACGGTCAAGATCTTGCTGAATTTTATAATGATCATCCTGCTGTTCAATTTTGTGATAAACCTTTAAGTCATCAGCGTAAAGTAAAATATTGGCAAATTTGAATGAGGATGTGACGTCATTTATAAAAAGAATAAACAGAAGCGGACCCAAAATTGAGCCTTGAGGAACGCCAGAGCTAACAGCAGTATAATCAGATTCATGACCTTTCAAGACTACTTTTTGTGTGCGATTGGTGATGTAAGATTTGAACCAACGCCACAAGTTGCCGCGTATACCATTAAAGGCCAGCTTCTCTAATAGTAATTTATGATCCACCCTGTCAAATGCCTTTCGAAAATCAGTGTAAATGCTGTCTGTCTGTTTATTTTCATCCATACTTTCAAATAAATATGATGTATAAATTATTAAATTTGTATTACAGGTGCGTCTTTTTACAAAACCGTGTTGTTCCTCAATAATTATATTATGGATAGATGGATAAACGTTATTATACACTAGCCTTTCAAAAGACTTCGACAGTGTGGTCAAGATAGATATGGGCCGATAGTCCTCTATGTTGGACTTATCTCCACCTTTGAAAACTGGTACAATACGGGCTGCTTTGAATATAGACGGAAAAACACCCTCATTGAGACACGAATTAAATATAAAACATACGGGCACATGAATAGTTTGAGCAGTAGCTTTCCAAAAAATTGGTGGTATGTTATCCACTCCGGGCCCCTTTGTAATGTCTAAATTTTTTAACTCCCGGAGTACTGCATCACTAGACAGCTGGATATCATTAAAGAAGATATCGGATGCAGGGTTACAACTTGGCATATCGTCAACATCAAGATTGTCGGTAACACATGAGGGTTCAAAAACTGATTCGAAAAATGACGAGAACAGAGTACACGCCTCGTCTGGGTTATAAACTGTGACATTTTTATACGTCATTTTACAAGGCATATCCATTTTATTTCTCCTATTTTTGACGAAGGACCAAAAACATCTTATATTCTTCTGTATACTATTTTCTACCGTTGCTATATACCCTCTGTAACACTCATGCGATACACGTTTAAATCTTTTCCTTAATAAAGAAAAAATTTCATAGTCCGATTTATTTCCATATTTTTTCCATTTAATCCAGTAATTATTTTTATTTTTGTAAATATGGATAAGAGCGGGTGAAAACCAGACTGGAAATTGAGACGATTTAATTACTCTCTTGGGTACA